TTATGCCGAATCCATTGTGTCAAGGGTTATCTTATATCAATTTATGATGTTTCAATGAATCTTGAAGCATCTTTACCTCCCTCTTTGAGTTCACTCTATGATTGGAGGGAGGGGTGGTTATTTTTCATTGTATTTATTGATTTTTGTCCAGATTGTACCCGAAATAATCAAGCAATCAACTTGCTCATTGATGGTTTTGGAAACGATTCCAACCTTCTCTTGAGGCTTTTCCATGATAGAGAAGTATGAGAGGGACAAACAGAGTTCAGAATACTCTGTCTACACTGTTTTCACTTCAGAGCACAAAATAGAATTTTGCATGAAATTGAGGCACAACCGACCTTCTTTAGGCCCGACTGGGCTTCATTGAGGGCTGGCCGGTCATCAATGTTCGGTCAGCAGTGTATTTTGTAGAAAACAAAGGGCAGTGGCTGAAGGTGAAACAGAACAAACCTAAGCAGACAAAGCTGTTCATGGACACTATGCATGCAACCCTTGCGCATCCTTGCTTATATCATGATCATTATTGTAATTAATTAATTAATTTATTATTGTTGTTATTATTAGTCTTGTTAATTATTAGTGTTGTAATTATTATTATTGTTTATTTGTAATTGTTATAGCTAATTAGCTTAAATAGTTAGTTTACTTATCATGGTTATCCTTGTTGTAATAGCATAACTAGCTAGTTTCTTTGATTATTCATTCATTTGGTTTTGTAATAATTAGTTCAATTTGGACTTCTGGACTTTGATTCATGCCTCTTGCATGAGGGAAAACGTGTAATAAGTTGCATGTCTTCCAACCCCACGTCTTTCTCCCTTTTACTTACTTGCTTACGATGGTTAGTATTGGAACATCATTTTTCAAATTAGCATTCTGATGCTTTTCATCCATTGCCTTGCATGCATTCATCCAAGGCTCGGCTCATCATACTAACCCAATATCAATGTTCATATTCATTACTTGAATACGTGCTCTATCGCATGTCTTGAATGGAATCATACGTCATACTCATAGTTGAGCCTCTAAAATACATAATGTGTGCATTGCATTTAGTCATATTGCATTAATTAGAAACATGCATATTTTTCTAATTATTTTGCTTTGTTTTGGCTTGGAGTACTAGGTGAGCTATTTTATGTTTTAGCATATTGCATCGAATGTTTGTGTACCATGTCAAAGCATACTTCCATGAGGCTAATTGCTTAACTGATATAATTGTTTGAATGCCTATGGATGAAGGGTAGTTGCTTGAATTGGGATAGTTTGATTAAATGTTCATTTTAAGCCCATATTTTTAAGTGGCAAAATTCACAAAACAATTTCAAATAAAACACGAAATCAAATGTTCCAATTCTTGCAAAGTAGTCTATACTAGTGTGTGCCACATAGTAAAAAATAGCTAATAAATCGGAACAAGAGCATATAATGTAAATAAAAAATCACATCATGATTAGTAAAGGCTGATCTTTGATCGAGTGAGTAGGGTGCTTAATTCATGACCTTCTCTTCTCGTACCTAAGTTCCCAAGCCAAGACACTTTGGTGATGACAGACTAATGGCCTTGGGCACAAGTCTTGGGTTTCCTAAATTTTCCAAAACTATTTAGGTGGCGACTCTAAAATTCGGCAAAACAGTCCATTTTTGGCATTTGATTCAAACATCAATTTTTCAAAAGATTTGACAGATTTGGACTCTTTGGTGTTATCTATTTCACATTGCACTTGTGAGATTAGATTCAGAACCGCGAGAGTCCGAACTGTGGGACTATTTGTCTTCCGAAAGGAGCACGAAAAGTCGAGCCACAATGATGATCAAAGATTCCAGAAGGGGATTCTCAACCATTGAATGATCAAAACATCCAACAGTGGATTTCTGTCTAAATGGCATGTGATAAGTGATGCTCAAGATGATAATTTTTTTTATTTTTTATTTTTTAAATTTGTAGTGGTATGTTTTTTGGTCCGGTGAATTATATTTAAATTTTTTTCAACTTTTTAAATATTTTTTGGTAAATTACACTGGCACTCCCTAAGATTTTGTCCAATTACATCCCACTCCTTGGCGTTATTGAAATTACATTCCTACCTTTGTGGTTAATAGTCTCATTTTACAAACCCCCTACTTATATAAAAAGCAACAACTCTTGGTAGAAAAACAGAGGAAATTACATTGAAAAAAAAAAGTAAAAAAAAATGTAAAGCAAAGTAAGAAAAGAGAGGGTGTATGAATTCAATGTCTTTTTGATACTAACGTTAACTCCATCTAAATAATTACAATAACAAGGTTCAGTGCAATTTCCCAAACGTCAGGAGGTGGGGGTATAAGTGTAATTTACCTTTGTTATTTATATTTGTCTAGTTAGGTAGAATGCAAATATTTATTTTTATTTTTTTAGAAAAAGTTAAAAAAAAGTCATAAAAGAAAAAAAAAATAAACAATAAAAAAATCACTAAAAAATCTATATCTAAACAGCACTTACATAATTGGAGGAAAAGTTTGTTGAGATTTGTCAAAATGGCATGTGATCATTAGAGCACTATTGCTATAATTTGATAATTTGCAACCCTTCATTGCCAAATTATAGCAATGATAATGCTATTATAACATTTGCCATTGGAAATGCTCTTAGGAACAAGGAGTTATTTAGGAGAAGTTATTAATGGTCTTGGAGGGTTGCTCTACACCATTCAGAGTTGGACACTTGTCTATTTCTCTCCTAAAAGGTGGCACAAAAGTGGTGGAGTTCACTGTTTTAACTCATTAAACTTAAATTAAAGCATCACATGATTTGTTCCACTACAAGAAAAAACACTTTTGGCTACTACATTTTTTGAGTTGGTTGTAGATAATTGACTTTTTGTGACTAACATTTTTTGGTCGCTAATGAGTTGTGTTTTTGCGACCAACGACATTTTGGTACCTAATAGGTAATTTTTTGCGTCCAAAAAAAAAATGGTTGCAGAAAGTAATGGTGGAAAAAAAAAAAAAAGCGGGATCTCAAAACCTTTTGTGACCAATAAATTGTGGTCACAAAAAGGAAAATGACATATTTTGTATCAAAACTATGTAATTTTGAATGTTTTTTAATATTAATTAAATTTGTTACTATTTCAAACAACTATTAATAATCAATCCAAAAAAAAATACTAATAATTAAATAATAAATTATTAAGAACATAATAGTAATTATTTTTTAATAGAATTATTATTTATTGATTAAAATCATAAAATTTCTTAAATTTATTTTTTCATTCAAAATATTAATTAAACTTTAATGAAGGTAAAATTACAAACATAGATAATAAAACTTAAAAAAAGGTATAAACTAAAACCAATTTTTACTACAAAAATTTGCCCCAAATTCAAATTTCTTCTCAATATTTGAAACACAATTGCTGTTGTGAGGTATGACCGAAAAAAAAAGTAGGCGGAAAAATAAAAGGTTTGTTTGGCTTGTTTTTGGGAGAGTTGTTTTTGAAAAAAATTTGAGGAGAGAGTTTAGAAATTTTTTTGGTTTGTTTGGTTATATATTTTGGGAGAGTTGTTTTTTTGGGAATTTGGGATGATTTGATATTTTGGGAGAATTTGAGTAGATGTGTGTGAGAGAAAAAGTGAATGAGAAAGAGAGAGGAGAGAGAAAAAATGATTGATTGATGTGCAAGAGAGAGAAAATGATTTTGAAATTTTTTTGAGAAAAACTCAAACCAAACAATTTTTTAAAATTTTTTTTCTAAAACTTACCTCCCAAATACAAACCAAACATACCAAAAAACTCTAGCTCCAAACACTAGCAAAAATATTAAAATAAAAGAAATCAAATATATCAAAATAGCCCTAACTGTCGGCACTCTACGTTTCTGATATCCAAATCACCCATCTTCTCTTCTCTTTTATATTGGCCCTGTTTGGTGTAGCTTAAAAGCTGCTTATTTCAGCTTTCAGCTTAATTTAAGCTATTTTGATGTGTTTGGTTTAGCTTATAACTTATACTTTATAGCTTTTTGGAAGTCAAAAATCAGCTTATTCTTTGAGTGGGGCAGAAGATGCTTAATTTATAAGTCAGAAATCAACTTATATTCATAGTTATAAGCTATAAGCTATTTAAGCATAAGCTATAAGCACTTTCCTACAGTTCTACCAAACAGGGCCATTGTGAAGACCTAGGGTTTGGATCCTATGACCTTTATCTTCATTGAAGAGAGCATTTTTGTTAAGGGTTTACGAGATCTATTCTCTCAACTCTCACAACCGCTCTGTTAGCGCCGATCGACGATCTCAAGTTTTGTCTCTGAACAACACTTGCTTGTACCATTGGTGTCATCTGCAACAAACAAAATACATGGCATGTTCTTCTTCTTTGTCTGATCCTATCTTCAGTGCTATATTTTGTTTAATTTTTTTCCATAGATTCACGCTCTTATTTTATTCATGGTGTGTTCCCTTCAAAATCTGCCTACTATGTGTTTGACAATATGTCTGCACAAGATATTCACATGTCTCTGTCTCTATAAATTGTGCACCAAGTGCTTATGAATATGTCTAAACCAAAAATTCAATTGTGTTACCGTATCTCATCTCTTAGCACAGGTACAAATACAAAAACATAAAAAATAAATAAATAAATTCCAGTCCTTGGGTATTTATAGTAGGCGAAACCATACTGTCATGTTAAAAAATAAAAATAAAAATAAAAAACACACTTGCTTTTGTTCAGATGTTCATACACTTGCAAGATGTTCAAGTATCTTCAAAATAAGAAAAAAAACACACGGACAAAAATAAAGGCTTCAATTCATTCAGAGTTTAAGTAGAAAGTTACTATGGTGATTGGGCCTTCAAATCCACCTGAAATTCCAAACTGATTCTTAGACATTCAAAACCTTCCATTAATATTCTTGATTTATGATCCACTTGACAAGAAATAAATCAAACAAAGAAACAAGATCCAAAATATCATGAATTTTCTAACACTTTAGAATCAGAATTTCAATTGTTTAGCCATATCTCATTCCATGAGCATAGATACAAATATAAAAAGATTAAAAAAACATAATGAATCAATGACCGTTGTTTGGCCATATGTTTGGTTCCACTTTTTTGAGTTAATTTTAGAATTTGTTTTTGAAAAATGTTTTTGGACAAGTGATCATTGTTTGGTTGTTGAAGTTAAATTCAATTATCGATTCAAATGTTAATTAAGAATGTTATTTTTTTTCTCTTGTTAAGAAAATAAAATAAGTTGGAATTCAAGCTGATATAAATTGTGAGTTTAATTATTTAAAATGAATGGTTGGTTGTTTAGCTTGAAATAATAGTGCGGGAGTTTTCATTGTCTTTTACATTTAGGAATGTACATAGCAATGAGTGGATAGACTTCTGATTTTCATAGCTTTTGAGTTGTCTTCCAAAGGAATAGCGATGTAGTTGCAATTGTCATCCCGGAATTTGTTATGTACAGAATTTTGGGACCTTTTGGGATGCTGATGAAAGGATTCTGAATTATATCTTGGCCGGTAGTGATTGAAGATACAAAGCAATGAAAAGAGGCTGCTTGTGGATAAAGTGGAGAAAGTATGGAAATATGAACAGTTTATTTCCTTTTGCTCATTGAGATGTGAAGTAATTCAATATAGAAAGATTGACTAAAGTTGGTTTGCAGCATCATTGGTGGTGATAGAATCACTGTTGAACCCACTCTTGAAGTAAGTCATGTTGGACTTTTCACTATGTATATTTGTTGATTCTGTAACTTTTACTAATTCTTTTGGTTGAATCCTTGGATTTTATCTTTTCTAATGTAGCATACATTGCCATAACTAGTTATGCCAACTATGATTCATCACTTTTCATCTTAAAATTATTTTGATACATAATGACTATGGAAAATTGATTGAGTTATTGGCAATATTTTAGGATACTACTCACTAGATACTGGTAGCATCAATTTTTTATTTTATTCTTTATGAATTGGATATAAGATACTTAGTAGCTCAAGGCACCTTAATTATATTGCAAGCATCTTATTCTTAGCCAACAACAGTGTGACCCCCATGGGCATAGCTCGTGGGTGTCCAACTAGTATATATATATATCTATTAGCATCACCAAGATTATCATACTTTGTCAGTTATTTAATTTTTAATCATTGTATAGCCTCCTAACTTTTAGTAAGCACTAATAGTGTTTTACATGTTTAAAGATGTTTTTACTTGTTGATTCTTTTATCTTAACTTTTAAATTTTCTGTGAAAAGGCTATCTGGGATAGATGGGCTTTATGAGACATTTGGGAACTTATGCTTAGCTCATAGCAAAGAGTTTGAATGCAGAATCTTGAGGTGTATTCATTTTTCCTATCCTTTATTATCTTAATTCACGACTCCCTGAACAATTTTGAATCTTTCGTAAAAGTTTCTAGTGTTATGTCATCAATTAGTTTAGGCAGTAAATGATTGGAAGCAAATAATGGACATTTTGCTCTTTTCAGAGCAGTTAGCAAAACTGTTAAATTTTCTTCAAGGCCTGATTTGTGGACTTATGTATATGTATTTTAGACCAAGTTTGGTGCTTTTATGGCTTAAGTAGAACTATGTCAATGACTATATCTGCTAAATATGTTGTTAATTAATTACTATATAAGCTAAATAAATCATACCAAACTAAACCTTGTGTCCCAATCAGGTTGGGTTGCTTAGTTTATTGTTATGTTGCTAAATTGTTTCTAAGTCCGAATGATTATGGAAATAGAAAATAATAAAAAAAAGGGCAAATTACATATACCCCCTCGAGGTTTAGCTAAATTACAGATACCCCTGAGGTTTCAGAAATTACAGATACTCCCCTGAGGTTTATATTTTCATAACAAATTGCCCCCTAATTGGTTATGCAAATATAACCTTCAGGGGGTATCTGTAATTTAGCTAAACCTCGAGGGGGTATATGTAATTTTCCCAAAAAAAAAAGAAAAATAAAAAAAGATGTGCATTGGCTTTTTAGTATAATATAACTGGACTTTCATAAAATGTCTTAGAATTTTGTCTTTAACTGTAAAGTGTAAACCATGTGGTTGATCAACTTCTTCTATTGGGATAGTTCTATGTGCTTCTCTGATATTTAAAATGTTTACATTGTTCCTTCCATATATTTGTTGTTTTGGTTTCAATCAAACGTTTTCTTTGGTTGATTTAAGGCATACTGTCTATTTATTTACTTTTTCAGTTTTAATCAAATGTTCTTTTTTTGGTTGAATTAATTAATTCATATTATTTTCAACTATTCATCTTTGCATCACTGGGAAACTTCAATTTATTTAGTATGATCATTAAACCAAACTCATTATTTAAGTGAGTAGGGATGTAATATTTTTTTTATTAACTATATAGTATTTCTTATTTTTAGTGGAGGACTATTGTAGCACTTTAGCTATGATCATTGATTAAATAAACTAACAGGACTAAGTTCTGACTATTTCCTTAACAAATAAGGTGTCTGATTTTATGCTGTTAATATTATTGTTCACTTTTGAGATTTCTTCATGTTATGATTTAATTTTATTGGTTGATTTCGATTTGGGTGAGTTTACTAAATTTGTTCCCATCGTAACCTGCTGCATTTCAGCTTGTTCCCATTTGTCTTTCTTATACTCATTCTTGCAGATTGTATGACTTGAAGCAATGTTGCTCATTGTTATTTAGAGAGATTTGATAACGAAGCAAGTTATTATTTCTTTTAGTTGGTTGGTTGTCTAACTTGATTATACATCTCTAGGGAATTATATCAAATAAACATAATTACATTTTTACATTTGATTTGGTTGTTGAGCAACTACGGTAATTAACTCTGTTCTATGGGTCAGGAAAAGAAGTCACTTGTTGCACATTATTAATATAAGGCATTGTTCGAAACAATCTTTTATTATAACATGTTAATTAACTCTCCTGTTCTAAACAATTATAATGAAATCTAATTAATTAACAACATAATTAGATTTATTTAAGCCCACCACCACCACCACCACCACCACCACCATAATAATAATAATAATAATAATAATAATAATAATAATAATATAAGGGGTGGGGTGTATAGTTAGATCCACAAAATTTTGCAAAATTAAATAGATATGTAAGCAAAAATATTATTACTAACAATGTTTTCTTCATTTTTTATCTTTTTTTATTGTAGGTAGCTAGAGGTATAGTCATGCGTGTTTATGGACATGAGTTTGTCGGTGCACTAATTATAAGTTGTGCTTATACGAAGAGTTTTTGATATATTTTGCATCAAACAAATATGTCATGCACTTGGATATGAATGGTTTGGAAAATTTTTGATGATTTTGTTAAATATGTTTTTGATATGGTGAATTCATTGTAAACTAAATGGATGAATGGGTGGTTATTTTGTAAACTAAATGGATGGATGGATGAATGGTTATTTTGTCAATTATTAATGTGTTCATGTTAACAAGTGATAGTAATTAGATAGATTAGTTACTTTTTTGACGTCCTTTCAATGGTTTTTTTGTTTGTAGATTGGATTGTTGATGGATTGGTATGTTGAAATTAATTGGATGGACATGAATTATGCATTAATTGCAAATGTATTACAGGTATTACAAAAAAAAAATAAAAAAAAAATAGCATTATATTGACAAAAATGATGTTTACAATTGAAAGTTTTTTTGTGACCAATAAAATTTTAGTCGCAATAGCTTTGTGAGAAGCTTGTAGGAATAGCTGTTGTGATTGACTTTTCGCGACCAAAATATGTCGTCGCTAAATGACAACTTTCCATGCCTAAGCTAAGTTTGGTCTTGAAAAACCATTTTTCAACGATTAAAATCGATGATCGCAATTGTTACATTTTAGCGATTAGATTTTTGGTCACAAAATGAACAACTTTCGAGAAATTGAAATCGTTTCTGCGACTGAAGTATATGGTCGCAAATGCTTACTTTCCGTGACCAACTTCAGTTTTGGTCGCCAAAAACCTTTTGTGACAGCTTTTGGCTACTAAATTATGACTAAATTGCGACCAATTTTTTTTGGTCGCTAAAAACTATTAACGACTAAATATGAACTTTCTGCGAATGAAAAGTTGGTCACTAAAAGTGTTATTTCTTGCCATGTTCCCTGAGGCAAAATATAGTTTCTCATTATTTAGTGTACCGAACGTAGTACATAGCTGTGTACCAATTCAATAATAAAAAATATAAAAAAAAATACTTTAATGCATGTTTTCAAAAAAATTATAGATAAGTGATAAATTTTATAAATTTGTAAATATTTTTTTTAGTTCCTACTTATTTGCAATTTTTCATAAAAAATATATAATTATTTTTGTTTACAATATAAGAAGAAAAAAAAAAGTAGAGGAAGTAGTTACGTATATTCATATTGGACAATCGGTAGTTGCTATACAAAAGCCATAGCAGTCACTATTGTTCGTCCAATGGGATTCATTTCGAGTCTCAATTTAATAATTCGAATAGTTTATTTTTAAGAGTATATTGAGTAGATTATATTTGTAAAAAATTAAATTAATCAAATATCGGTAACACTTTCATCAACTTGTATTTGTATCTAAACTAATGAATGATGAGTGTAAATTTAGATATAAAACTAAATACAAATATTATTTGATAAAAAAAACTATCAATATCTAATCAATTTAATTTTTTTTTAAATATATTTTACTTGACATATCTTAAAAAATGAACCACATATATTCACAAAATAAATTCACAATATGTAAATAACAGTAGCTACACTTCTCCCTATCGGACAATTGACCTACCACATAGTTGAAAAGTGAGAAGAAGTAATTCACTAATGCAATCATTTGACATAAATATGAGTGATGGGACCATTATATCAATGGGTACTTGGTTTAAAAGTCCAAATTTTAATTTTGTTTGCCCCAAAGGTCCAGGCGTTGAATCACTTTGTCCAAAAGGACAAACTCAAGCGAAATGATGAAAATGCCCTTCCTTATATATGTAATATATCCCAAACCCCCAAAGCCTCTCTCTCAAGTTCACCTTCAATCTCTACACACACACACACACACACACTCTCTCTCTCTCTCTCTCTCTCTCTCTCTCGCTACAATGGCTTTACCACCACCACCACTGCCAATTCCTCTCTTCCTTCCCCATTTGGTGACCTAACACCGACACTCTTCACCATTGACCTCCACGACACAGCCTATGAGATCTTCGTTGTCCACTCCAACAAAAAAAACATTTTTGGCAACGTTTTTTAGCAACTAGACTGAAATTAGTTGCCAATTTTATATAATCGGCGACGATATACTTGTTGGTCGCCAAAAAATACACTATTGGCGATGAGTTAAGATTTTTATTAGTTGCCAAAAGATTTGCTGTCAACTTAAATTTTTGCGCGGGAACGACAAAACTATTTTCGCAACCAAATATATATATAGCAATGAAAAGTTTGGTCACAGATTGTAAAGTTTTGGCAACATAAATGATAGTCGCAGAAAAGATGAACAGTACTTATGGCGACCGAAGGATTTTAGTCGCCAATAAGTTAGCTGTCGAAACTACATCGTTTTGCCTTCTTTCTTTTTTCTTTTTTAAGACTTGACCGACCTTTTTGCTGAATAGACAAATAAGATCTAACCATTGTTCATCTCATTCTCTCTCAATCCACAACCTCAAGCGGCGCACAACAAAACAGAGGTATGTGTCCCTCTCCCTCTCTCACACTGCCTCCTCCTCCTCTTTTTCTTCTTCATCTCTCTTCCTCTCGCTCTCTTGCGTCGCCAACTGAGCACCACAAATGGCATTCACTTCTCTCTCTCTCTCTCTGATATTTTGAATTTATGGGACTATTTTGGGACTACAATTCTACTTACAAGACAGATTTTGGGACTATCTTTTCGAATATATGATAAATAAAAGACTGCAATGTATATATATATATATATATATGAAAAGTCTTTTTGGGATACAGACTGAGAGTGGAATAGAATAAAAAGAGAATGGATTCTATTTGTGTTTTTGTTTTTGTGTGTTTTGTTGTTAATCAGTTAATGAAATTTAATGAAATTGCTTGGATATTGGATTTGTAAAGGAATTGCATACAGAGAAGAAATAAAATAGTGCTAAAATCAGGAAAGCATTATGTTTGTGTATTTGTTTTTCTGTTTGTGTATTTGTTTTTGTGTGTTTTGTTCGTTAATTGGTTAATGAAATTTAATGAAATTGCTTGTTAATCAGTTAATGAAATTTGTGTGTTCTACTTGTTTGTGTTCTGCTTATTAATCAGTTAATGGAATTTGTGTGTTCTGCTGGTGGGAGGAAAAAAAATTCAAAACTCTACTTGTTGCGTCATGGTCTACTTTATATGAAATTGATGAATGGTGCAGGACAATGTTATTGATTAAGTAAATTTTAAACTGTTAGTTGCATCATGGCCTGCTATTCAAAACTCTGCTAGTTGCATCATTGTACTCTAAAGCTTGAATTGTTAAGTAAATTTTGATCCAAAGTGACCTCCAAGAATTAATTAATGAAACATGAATGATCAAGTAGATCATACCCTACTTCATAGACCTTATGATCAATATGGTCCCATTAATTGCAGCAAAAGCATAATCTGAAAAGTAATCGCAGCAAAGGCACAATTTGGTTTATGCTGCGTTCCATTGTTGACAAAGACACATCACAAATCTTTTTAGCCTAGTTGTGTGGTGGAGAGAAGTTTTAGGCCTGATTGTGTGATAGAGAGGTTTTAAGAGAGATGCTTGAAAATGTGGACAATGGTAATTGCCTGTTTTTCTACATGCTTAAAAATGTTGCAAGACATACCTAATTATCTAAAGCCAACAAAATCAAGATGAATAATCATTTTAATTATTTTTCATTTAGAATAAGATGAAAAAAATCTTTAGTGTTAAATCAAATTTTTTTTTTTTTTGGTGTTAAAATGGTAATAGACCTACATTGCAATGTTAGGATTTTTAACAATGAGAATGTTTATGTGAATTTATATATCCATTCACTTCCTCTCCCTTTTTCTTCTTTATTTTGATTTTGGTTAATTGGTTAATCTATTTTGTGTGTTCTGCTTCTTGTTTTCATTTTTTTCAAAGCAATCTCATGGCCTATTCCCCTCACTCTCTTGAGGGGGCATGATAAGGATTCCATTTGAACTCAAGTTCTAGCTAATGCTCAGCCTATCAAAGTTCATCACAACAACTAGAGTTAGTGTTTGTGTAATAAGGCTCCTATAAAGTAATAAGGCTCCTATAATTGAACTAACAAATTTAGTTACAGCTAGAGTTGGTTAGAGAGTTAGTTAGATTTAGTTAAGAGTTAGAAGTACCTCTAGCACAGTTAGTGTTTGTGTAATACACGTATAAAAGATGTAACTCTTGTACAATTTTATCAAGTTGAATAATAACTCAGATTTTCTTCATATTGTCTATAACGAAAAATAGTGCTTAACCTCGTTGAGGTCATTTCATACAAACTCAATACATGACATTCACTATTTTCTTTTTCTTCATAGTATAGTTACAAGTTTAATGTTTTGAATATATATTAGTTTCACAATTTTGTATTTCTAATAAAAAAAAATTAAAAATTTAACCATTGAATGAAATAGAGTTTGATATAGTGCTTGATATCAATAATTTATGAAGAAAAGATTTGATATGAAACTTTCTCTGAATGAGAAATGTAGAGCAGGTACATTATAGAAAAGGAATGGAAATTGTCGTTTAGTGAATATTTCTTCATCTAAAATAAATTATACTTGTTCCGAATCACCACCTTATTGATCAATGAATTGAATCATTGATACTGTTTCATCTCATGAATATACATAAAACTAATAAACAGAATTTTAACATCTTGTGTTTATAAAGGCAAGCAACGGAGGAAAAAGAAAAAAAAAATCTCCATGGTAGTTGTCATCCTCTTTAACCTGTTTTATTATGATCCTAAGCTTTTTTTATTAGATTTTTCTAACATGATTTTCACAATTACAAGAGAGGACTTTTTTTTCTTTTTTTTTTCTTTATTAGATTTTATGATTGATAAGATGGTGACAACATAGTTTCTTCTTCCTTTTTCATTTATGTATAATTTTTATGTTCTTTTGTTGGGTGATAATTTAAACTTTGATTTACAATTCAAATGTTATAGGTTATTGGTTAATGTAAAGAGATAAAAAAAAAGCTGCAATCATTCGTTGGAGCAATTACTACATCAAGTAAGCTTTGACTATATGTTACGGCATTTCTAATTTATTTAGAGAATTTTGGCACTTTTTTTTTTATTATTAAATTTGTGGCTATTAGAAGATTCACATTTTTTTCCTAATGTTTTGAGCATTCATGATATGACAAACACTTAGATGACTCAAGGAACTATTTGACATGTAAACAAAATAAGACCAAATGCAATGATTAGG